GAGAGAGAGAGAGAGAGAGAGAGAGAGAGAGAGAGAGAGAGAGAGAGAGAGAGAGAGAGAGAGAGAGAGTGTTCACCCCAGGTTAGCCAGAGGTACTCCTAAAGAAGCCGGAGGGACAGACTTCACACGCGGCCATCGGTCCTCCTGACGTTCTAATCTTCTTGGAAGGATAGGCCGCCTTTCGGGTTTTTCCGCTCGTGGGGGGGGTAAACTGCCGATGTCGTGCAGCATAAGGCAGATGGCATGCACAGTGCATTCCACATTTTAAAGGTCACCCCACGTACAGATCTAAACACTCTTGCATTCTCGAATAAAATCCCAGCAACATTGCCTCTGCCAACAGTTCGACCAAGCTCATACATTCCATCCACAACAATCCTTCGGCCTAATCAAAGACCAATCCATCAAACAACAGATTCGTCATCCGAGCATTTCCATTTAAATTCGGGATCATTTAAAGTGGAAGGTGTGAAAATGGTAGTCATGCATCACTCGGTTCTCCATGTGTTCTGCACCTCTGCCCCTTTGGTTCTTCGTGTGCTCTGCACCTCTGCCCCTTCATCGAGGACTAATCAAGCGCAAACCACATAGGCATTCATTTCATTCTTAGAAGATCGACAAGCGTACAAAGTATTCACGCCATAAAGTTAGTGGGGAGAAGAGACGCAAGATGGGTAGGATGGAGAAAGATTACACAACAACTGCGAAACTGAAAAGGACTTCCGATTTAACTGTCGTCGAACTGCACTCGCACCAAAGAATAGATTTGAGACAAAGAAGGCGCATCCGCCGTAAAGTTCCGCTATGGCCCCGGACCGTTCATCCAACTCGAACCACTATCCTCATACTTGCACCGACGATCCCGGCCGTCGCGTGCCACGACTCACCACTGCGATCGTCACAACGCCGACTTAGTTTCTGCACGGGTTTGCCCCGATCCCACAGTCCGTCATGGCGATCAGGCACACAGGCAGTCAGTCTACAGTCAGCCAGTCAGGACTTTTCGACTCGCACAACACGCTCTATCTAGCCACCGCTCCCCGGAAGCTGGCTGACAAGTTGAGAGAGAGCTTTGCGGACACACTTGCGGAATTTATAGTTGCGAGAAGGGAGATAGATGAGGAGGAGGATGAAGAATGGGGTAGAGAAGGGCGAGAGAAGACTTGGGGAGAATCGCCCATCGGAAGCCATGTTGATCCCTCTCAGTCCGACTGTAGCCAATCAGAATCGTCGCGTACTAGGAATTTCCTCTTACACAGCGCTTCTCCAAGAAATCAACGGGGCGAAGGGAGGATGAACAGGATTTTCCGGCGTAGGACTTAGAGCGGGAAGGAGAAGGGAGCGAAGAATAGCGCGAAACGGGTTCAAGATTTAGATTATCAAGAAAGAGAGAAGGCGCGCGAGGCAAGAAAGGGAGAGAGAGAGAGGAAAACAGTTACACGGGGCGCGCAAAAGGGAGCATGGGCACGCGAAAGGAGGCATGAAAGGGAGCGCGAGAAGAAGGGAGGAGGAAGCTCACATGCATGGCGCCGATCACAGAATGCAAAAGAGGCACCAAAACAGTCACAGCCTTTTCTAAGTCGTATACAAATTCAAAAATTGAAATCACCATATCTGCGCGCAAAGTAGGCGCGGGAAAAGAAAGAAAGTCCTACGTCTATCCATATTCCCACAAAATTCCCAGAGTTTTCCAAGATGTGGCCGAGAACATTCATGCATAAAAAGGACACGTCGGGTTCCATACATCCCAGAATTCCTAACCGTCGAGCCAAATTCCGAGCGCGCTCACTGAGACGCGCCTAATTCCAATGCATTTCCCAAATTACAAAAACGGAATTTCAAGAATCAATGGAACGGGCAACAATGCGGAATTTCAGCAAGGCACCTTTAATCGAAGAAAAACAAGAAGGGGCTTTGTTGGCCCGAACAAGACACCTCTGGGGTGAAGTCCCACCGCCGAAGTTGAGTTTTCTCAACGCTTAGCTTTCTATCACGGGTGGCATGGTGGTTCGGAGCTCTGCCGTTGATGTATTGAGAATCTAAGGGTACCAAAATACAGGAGAATAACCTATTAGATTTGGTCGTTTTGTACATTTTTTCGTTGACGTGAAATCCGTTTTGTCGTATGCTTTGGCCCTTTCCGTTTGGGCAGGAAACCATTTTCCGTTGAGAAAACTACCCTCCGTAGGGTACATTTCTCAACTTATTTGCCTTTCGTTTTTTTTTTTTTTTAAGACATCATTACACCCTGAAACGGAGGAGCTCTGACAGCTCTGTTTGGCTCTCTCGCATCAAACTCTCTTCCTTCTTTGGGCAATGAACACATCTGGC